TGTAGAGCAGTAAAAAAAAAAAAAAAAAAAAAAAAAAAACCTCCTATGTATTTAGTCTTTCTAGAGCTTACATCCCAGTGTTAAAGAATTAGCATGTAAACATTTGTGTGTGAGTGTGTGTGTATGTGTGTGTGTGTGTTGCTGTAACTGTCTCCCTCCCCCACCAAACACCAATTTATTTGTGTCTTGCAACTGACTAACCAGTACACTTAACTTTCCAGCTAAAAAACAGTGACAGATGGTCTTTAAACACTGAACTTCTTGGAAGTCTTGAGCAATTTCACAGCTGTTAGAAGGGAAGTTTACAAATCAGAAGTTAGTTGTAGGAAGAGGAAGAGACAGGATAGACAGAATCCTGGAAGCTAGTATCGAAATTCAAAGCGACCTAAGTCAATTGAGGAAACAGCCAGAAGCAAACAGAATAGACTTCTGCAAAAATGAGTGAAATGCAGTGCAGCAACAGCAAAAAGACAAAAGTACCTTCACATGTGGAAGATGGAGGAAGACAGCTTCTGTCCAAGTTTTTAGTTAAAGGATCCAAGCACTGGCAGCAAGCTGTTGTTTATGTTTGTTTTTTTCTGCACAGTCAGTGCCACCATTCAGATGTATTATAGAATTGCTTAGTGAGTGTTGACTGTAGGAGCCATATGAAAATAACTCCTCAAAAAATCAAACTTATTTGCCATGATAGGAAGAAAGACCTCTTGAGGTCAATGTCCTTGGAAAAAATTCACCTTATTTTAGGTGAATCAAATGAGGGATAATAATTTGATTCTCAAAATATATTTCTTATTCTTTTGTACTAGCAAATCTCTAGAGTTTATCTGTATCTTTATACTTTTTGTAACACATTATCATCACATTGAACTTCCTACTCCCGCCCTTATTGATGAAGCCTTTCCTTTAATTATAAACTCTGTAAAATTAAAGCTGGTTTCAAATGGTACAGGAGGTATAAAAATGAGGGACAGACAATAAAAACAGCCACTGATTTTTAACTAGTGATTCTTCATTGTTTTTTTTTTTTTTCAGAAGAAAAGTTCGTAATACCAGAGATGAAGAGGAATGTGCATTTTAGTTTAAAAGTTTTGAATTATTTCTGTGTCTGTATGGCTTTAGAAAGAACAGTAGGTGAATAGCTGATGAAGGCTACATGACTTTCATTAAGGCTACAGATCCATAACTGATTCTGAATTTCACTGAGATTTGAGGAAGGGACCAAGCCTAGAACCCAAGTGTCAGAGACTGAAGATTGGCCTGTATTGTCTATATTGTATGGTAATGCCTACCTGCAAACCAGTAGCACTTCTGATGTGTGGCCAGCCTTTAAAGCTTAGCAAGCATTGAATAAAAATAAAATCAGCTTTCACCCAATTTCTTTCAAATAAAATAAAATCCTTTCATCTTAAATTATTAGTTTCACTAATCGAAGCACTTTAAACTACATTCAAAAATTAGAAAAATGCTTAGGACTGAAAAGAACTTTATACTGGGAAAGATATAATCAAATGGATTATCTATAAAAACTTAAATACCTTCATTAGAATTCGGCTATGAGGGCTGCGGTTGTGGCTCAATGGTAGAGTGTTCACCTAGCACGAGTGAGGTTCTGGGTTGGATCCTCAGAACCACATAAAAATAAATAAATAAATAAGGCATTTAAAAAAAAGAATTCCATTATGAAACAATTCCTTTTTGTTATTAACCATTTTTTCCTTATATACTTGGCTTTTTAAAAACTGAATGATAAAGTTATCAAGTTATCTGCTTCTTGCTTATACTTCTTTACACCTAAAGTGTTTATTTTAAGCACAAATAGCTTCTTTTACATCAGTACAGAAACGCTATTCATTTTTCTACATAAATAAGAAAAATAAATATGTTGAATTTTAAGCTGTATGTAGCAAAGCAAAAAAAATAATATGAGATCTTTTTATTATATTGTTCAATTTCTAATTATTTCAAATTAAATAGTGTATAAATATAGAGAAATGCAGACACAAGCTTTAGCCATGAAGATCTTCATTTTTGATCTTTGAGGGTGTATATTTGAGTGATTTTCTATTTTCAAGTTTTCATGTGAGTTTATTTTGAATTATACTTTTTGTTTTCTACTTAAATACTTATTTAAAATAATTTCAGAAAGGAATTATTTGTATTAGAAAACTAACTTTTCTTTTGTGCTTGAAAAGAACTAGAAATGTAAATATTAGGTAGCAAATACAAATTATTTTGTGCAAACCAAATGCTGCCTCAAACAATTAAATTTGCATAACAATCACAATATAAATCTTGAAGATCTACAATTTTTCATTTTTTATCTGAAAGGCATTGTAATAAACTTTAAATTTTTTTCTTATTAATATCCCGTATTTGTAATTTATCAAGGGAAAGTAATACCCTGAAAGACCTATTACATGACAGATAGAAGATCTGCCATTGCACTACATAAGAACACTTAACTAAGTGTATTTTACAACTTCAGCAAACAGCTATTAAACATTTAGTAAGTGAAATATTTTGTGCTACTTCCATGCTAATTCTTTGCAGGATATACAGGATATGAACACATACATGGCTTATTTCTTGAAAAAAAAAACCTGATATTTTACGACTAACAATTTGACAAGATGTATTGTCCTTTTAATCAGGAGGTATTTACTTTCCCAGTTTTTGAGATTAAAATAATTTTTAGTTGGCTGGTAATATACCATGACAAAGAATTACAATTTAGGAATGATAAACATTACTGTTGCCAAATAGTCCCTTCTCATTTTTTGACATTTTCTATGAATGAATAAATTTTGTATTTTACTCACACAATACCAGCCACTTTTTATTTTGAGATATTTGTATTTGGATACAGCTGTACAGAATAATATTGAGAGATTATTTGCCCTTTACTTTGTTCCCTCAATATCTTATGAAACTCTACTATAATATCACAACCAAGATGCTGATCTTGATATAATCCACCAATCTCATCCAGGTGTATTCAGCTTTATTTGTAGTTAGTTGTGATAGTATTGAGTCTTATGGAATTTTATTCATGAAATAGGTTGCCATGGGCACCATCATAAGATACAGAATAATTTCATATTTCTGTCACTACAAGGATGTCACACATTACCATTTTATGAAGACTTACTTCCCTTCTCCATCTTTAACCTTTGTGAACCACTAATCTCTCTTGTTTCTGTAACTCTGTCATTTCAAGAATATATATCTATAAAAGGAATTATATAGTATGTTATCACTTGGGATTAGCTCTTTCTTCTTAGTATAAATCTTTGGAGATTCATCTAGCTTTTTAAGTCTATAGTAATGTACACCTTTTGATTGCTAAGTAGTTTTTCATTATATGCACCTGCTACATATTGTTCAGCCATTCATCAGTGGAAAGAAATTTGGGCTCTTTCCATTTGGGGGCTATTTCAAGTAGAGCTGCCATGAACATTCATGTGCAAGGTTTTCTGTAAAGATAAATTTCTATTTCTCTGGGATAAATGTCCAAGAGTACAGTTATAGGGTAATATGATAATTACATGTTTAGTTTTACGAGCAACTCCCCAAACTGTTTTCCTAAATGCTGTATTGTTATATTTCCATCAGCAAAGTAGGAGTGATCTGGTTTCTCTGCATCCTTGTCAACATTTAATATTGTCACTATTTTTATCTTAGATGTATTGTTAGTTATTGTGGCTTCATCTTCATTTCCCTCATGGCTAATAGCAGTTCTTTTCATGAGCTTACTTGCCATCCATATATCCTTTTTTACTTGAAGTGTCTCTTTATACCTTTGGACCAGTTTTGAATTGAATTTTATTAGTTCTTAGTGGTGACTTTTGAGAGTTCTTTCTATAGTCCAAATAATAGTTCTTTGTTGGATCACAAATATTTGTAAGTTTGTTGTCAAGATAGCTTATATTTTCATTCTCTCACATATGTATAACAAAGATCAACATTTTTGTACCTGCTTATGTTAACTGGTTATCCCCACAGAATTTTCTTTTCCTTTCTTCAGTCACATTTTATTTATTCATCACCTAACATAAATATGCAGTTCTACCTATCGTATTTATAAATGCATGGTTATATGTAATAAAACTCTTCCTCCGATCTTTTGATCTTTTGTCTCTTGATTAAATGACTTTGAAGGATGGAGGGTTGCAACTCATACTGATGGTGTGCTGGAAACTAAGAATATCTGTTCACAAAAGGATTAAAGAGTTTAATTTTGTTACTTTCCTATGCCAAAGTTTGAACAACAGTTGGAAAATGGAAAATGGAATTATATATGTGTGTGTATATATATTGCTTGATAGCATAATCTTTTATCTGAAATAGTTTAAAATAAAGTCTATATGACTTTTTACCAGGCTAATTACATCACTCAATTAGTATGTTTACTGTGGTGTACTAATAAGAGTGATTATATTTTATTTCAATTTCAGTTATTCTGTATAGAATTTCTAAGAAATGTAAAATTTTTCTGTTGTGTCAACAACTGCTCTCCAAATGAGTGTTTGATCTTAAATGTTTCCTTTTATTGTTTTTTACTTTCATTGAAAACAACTCAGTGGTTGCTGAGAGTAAGGAAATGTGTTGTTGTTTCTTTTTGCATTTTAGCTTTTATACTTTTTTTTTGCTTTTGTGTTTTGTTCGTATGAATGACTGGATTTGCTTTTTTATTTTTATTTATTTATAGCAAGCATGGGAATATATTCTCGCATACACCTGGGGAAAGAGAGTACCATAAATGTGGCCTAAGCAACACTGTAAATCATTTTTTTTCTTTCCCATTGACTCAAATACGTGTACATTGTTGGAAATGTGTGCTGCTCTAGTGACATATTTTTTCAGTTTAATTAGCTGCCTGCCTGTAATCAGGGCTATATCAACTGTTGTCATTCTAAATGTTTCCTTTCTTTTTTTCAAACACATTTGCCTGATTGACCTTTTTTTTTTTTTTTCTCTGTCTTTCTATGGGGCTGCTCCAGGAGCCATGGCTAATCATCTTATAAGCAATGCTCTGCTTCGTCCGCATGGTACTAACAATCCCTATAATACATTGCTTGGGGAACCGGCGGTCTGTAACAACCCTTCTGTCAGCATGTACAACGCACAAGGTGTGCTGGAGTTTATCTTAATTTTTTTCAAGTGAGAGTCCCATTTTATGTAGCTTTTATGAGCACTTTTTAGTTTCCTTTCTCCTGCCTTTTCTTTGTTTTGGAAGCTGACACACAGACTCCTTTACATTCCACCCCTCTTGGTGCTTTTATTTTCCATTTTCCTTAGGCTTTCCTTAGTAAGAAATGGATGCCTTCTGATAAACAAATGCCTTATTCATTCATATGTGTCTGTTTCTCTGTACTGTTACAAAATGTATTGTGGTTTGTCAGTACTTTTCTTGTTGTTCATTTATTTCTATATTAAATACCTATGTATTTATTTTGAGAAATGAGATACGTGTCTAAGGTAAGTAAGATAAAAGAAGACTTGATTCAGTAGTCTTACTGTTATAAGATGGAGAAAATAAATCTTAGTTTGTTAAATCATGAAGTACACTCTGGGCACAAAGCATTAGTATTGATGAAAGCATTAGATTAACTCCAGGGAAAATTACATTGAACTAAGCAGTGGAGGAAAGAGCAGTGAACTGGACAGTAGCAGCTCAGGTTCTGTCTTAGCTTTGTCATCGCCTACACGAGCTGGAGCAAGCAAGTCACAAAATTATTTCTACTGTAGGCTACAACTCACTTGAAACAAGGATTTTGAAGATGGCTCCTCTGTATGCCCCATCTTGAAAACAATACAGAAACTTCATTGTGTTTCAAACAAATAAGCATAGGTCTTTTAAAAAACAGCTTACACTCTAATTATGTGGACATGGTTTTACTTTTTCTAAGTATACACACACACACACACAACATACATATGTAAACTCTTATGAACTCCATTGTTGATTATTGCTATTAAGATTATTAATTTGTTATATTAAGATTATCAAGATTATAAAGATATATTGTCTATATATAAATCATCATAAATGTATATATGTGTATATGTATACATGTAAATAGACCATAAATCATTGAAATAGAAGTTTCATTAAAGAAACATCTTACTTAAAATTATATATTTGAAAGAAAATTCACTGTAATAGGTATGTCCATGGTTCTTCCAGTTGAAGGCAGTAATTGAGCAATATTAAATTACCCAGGAAATTTGGAATAAAATTTCTATTATCCTTTGTGAGCATCTCTGGTGTTTTTTTTTTTTTTTTCATTTTTCTTTTTTTCTCCTCTTTCTTTCTTTGTCAGAGGTAAAAGATTAGTGGTGTGACTGTAAAACTTGGTGTGAATGGGCCATTTCAGAAAAACATGTTTGTTGCAGCCTGCCACTGGGCGTCTCACATCACCTGAGCTGTCCTATAGGGTTCCTTGTCAGATACAAAGGATGATTTTAAATTATTTCAAAAATACCAAAGTAATTTATTAACAAATGACTTCAGGAGTATGTTCAAGATATTTGTTTATATGATGAAATAATTCAGTAAACTTTCAATTTCATCGTTTCTTAAGACTCCATGTTGAAGAAGCATAGACTTTGAGAACCAGAGATAGAGTTCATGAAATGCTGTTTATGTGATTACTGACACCCTGTAAGCCCCAGCTTGAAGTATCTATTCTAACAGGGCTCTTCCCACCTCAAGATCTCATATATTCTATTGTTGAAATGCTCTGCTTGTTTTTTACCCATTTATGTATATAGAGATATCTAGATATATTCCTCTTACTATAATGCTTATGTTTGCCTTCTTCTGTTGCTTCTTGGAAATCCTTGAAATACTTGAAAGCAGCAAACCTATTTTCCTTTGGTTTTCCATATCCCTACTACAACAGAATCATCAATATGAGAGTTTCTGGGTCCATCTTCATGGTTACTCTCTCTATATTCTCTCATTTGTCAGTGTCCATATTCCACTGTAGTACTCTACGGATGGTACAATACACAGTGCACCAGATGGGGTTAGGCAGAACAATTTAGTAGACCTTCTAAGGGTTTATCTTGTCTTTATTATCCTTAGGTTAAGTGAGAGGTAAATGGGTCACTATAAATATTTTGAAGTATCCTGATAAATTAGTAATTTTGAATGATGTTAAATGAAGATTTAAAATATTTGCAAGTTAAATGTAATCTACATTATTCACCTTACACAGAAAAGTTGTTGGTAATTACTTTAAAATAATTAACAAATGTGGATTGCGTTTTATTTTGCTTTTTTTGGTTTTCAGAGATAATGTGTCATTTCTTATATAATGAAAGAGTAACGATTATTAATTTTTCTGTTTTCCTTATTTCACTATCTGCCTTCACATCTTTATTTTTACTGGTATAACCAAAACAAGGGAAGGATATTTTTAAGGGTGAACACATACCTATCTAAAATATTAAATTAAAATTTTAACAGACAAAAAAAAATTAAAATACCATATAAATACAAAGTTTTATTCCTATGGAATCCTTAAGGTATTGGTTATTACTCACAAGGAATTTGTCTGAATGGATTTTTCCTAAATTCCAGTTTAAAAAATTCTATTGACTCCTTAAAAATAAAAAGTAAATAATTTTATTAATGTTTTTCAGAGCCAGAAGTGGAACTGTTCAACTATTATGTTTTAATAATTATCAAAATGTTAAGAAACCATGATAGTGCTTAAAATAATTCTATTACCACTGACCAAAAATAAATCTTGATGATTGTCATATTGCTGCTAATCTTATGCTTTCAGATGAGTGCACTTATATTCTTACTGGCAAGGTGAAATCTTACATGAAATATAGTTGACCCGGTATGTACTGGAGAGGTTTCTGGAGTGATTTATGTTAAATTACCACTTGGTTCTGTTCTGTGGGTTCTCTACTTCAGTTGTACCAGTGCTATCCAGGCATAGAAATGTTCAGATTTAAAGCATCCAATCTTGTTTGTAATGCCTTTATTTATGTAAAGATGTGTATATAGTGTTACTACTGAAACATATAAAAATAAAAGTGAATAATATACTTTTATTATGTTGAACTCAGCTTCCAACTGTGGGAATGTTTAAAACTTTTTGCATAGAATTTCTGGACCATTGTGTATTTGTCAGTATTAGAAATTCAATTTTTGTAGAGATAAATCTCATTATAGAAAAACTTGTCAACACAATGTAAGAGAGGAAGTCGTGATTTTACTAAAATAAATTTACATCTTAAGGTAATTTAATTTAGTTCTAAAACTTTAAAGAAAGACATATCTCTAGAATGGGATATAGTGAAGAATAAAAGTAAGAATGCAAGGTATTCCTTCATGGTTTTCAAAGCCTACAGCAGATTTGAAGAGAAAATTGCAGCAGAGTTGGAAGAAGTCTAGAGACCCCTTTCTGATCCCAGCTCTGCCCTATTAGCAGGGAAGCATTAGATAAGGCCCAGCCTCTGTGCACTGTGGTTTCTTCATCTCTGAAAAATGGAAATTGAACCTCAGTGATCTCTTTTTTGTGCTTCTAGTTCTAGAATCCCTGTATTTAAGGAGTGAACCATAATGAGCCTACAGGTATTTACCTCTGTTGATAAACAGCTTGTCTTTCAAATTGTTTTACTAAAGCTGTTTTGAAATTTGAAAAAATATTTCTTCTGCTTTTTAAAATGCTGTAGGTCTTGTTTTGCTAAGAAAAAAAAAACTGTCTCCTTTAACCAATGGTTAAATTATAACAAGTTAGAATCCCTCAAAATGRTCTAGCCCAGAGAATTCACTTGTCTTTGTTTTGTGATATTTTAACCATCATGTAAACAAAATCAGTAAGAGTAATTCTTCTGACCTGCTTAAAATGTGAGTTTTTTTCTAAAAAGTAATTTCACCAGGATTGTTTTCAAAGGATCCACTCCCAAAATATTTGATTGCATATGATTGTGCAGCAATCCAGAAGAAAACCTGATATAAGTGGTGATTTATTCCCCACACATTTTCTTGATACAGAATAAATGGATTTAGCCTTTTTTTTCTGTAGTTACTCCACTTCTGGATAGGGGCTCCAGAAATGACAGTACTGATCAGTTTTTTATTACAAATGATAAGCAAAATTTTTGTAGGTACAATGAGGAAAAATAATGTTTGTGCAGAGAAAGAGAAGATATATAGGGGGAAAAAAGAACAAGATTATGAAAATCTTCAACTAGTATTTTTCTGTATCCAAATTTCCTTGATAATTTCATTTAATAAATTATAAAATTATATGGCATTCCTTTATGAGCAGGTGCATTCTAACATCATACATGTGACAGTATTGAAATCTAGAGGTGGAAATAGTTCCTGGCTCACCTTCTTTTTATTCTCTTGTTTGTGTGATAATCTTAATTGTAATATAAGTGTGTATTTTGTTGGAAATTTACAAACTGTATAATGCTTATTAAAGACTCATTATATTGGCATGTGTTAAGGGGGACTGCTTATTTTCTGACTAACATATCAGTATTTTTTATTATGATAAACCATGTAACACAGACTCATGAATTTTGGGGCAGTGGAAATTATTTCCTTTGACTCTTTTTTCTGCATATCATCAATTTGCTTTTTACTCATGTTTCCTCTACTGTCGCTGTAAGCTTACTTGTTGTTTTTTCTTTCCTTTTCTTCATGCTGTCGTTTAGAGCCCTACAGAGAGACAAGTATGGGAGTAAAGCTAAACATTGCATATCAAATGTAATTTTTTTTAGTTCACTTTTATTGCATCACATATAGATGATGTAGTTATTAAAAACAGTTCATCTCACAATTTAAAAACTAAAGAGCCTATAAATCAACTTATATAAATATATGCTAATAGAGATTAGACGCTTTTGTTGTCTGATTCTTTTATTCTGTCACATAATCAACATGGTTGTTAAGTCTCATGTAATGTTCGTGTGAGTTAAATTGTTTTTAAATTAAGCATTTATTTTTGCTAAGTAATCCATAAACTTTTAATTTTTATTAGTACATTCCATCATAAAAGTGTGTCATATGCAGCATCCTCACTTTATTTTACAATGGCTGTTTTTAGTCTCTGCCTAATGCATTGACAACAGAAATACAAAAGCACATGTTTCAATGCATCAGCCACGCAACCCTAACCATCTAGCATCCCATTGCAACCTCTGCAGCCGCAGTCACCCATCACATACAGCCCTTTAAAAGGCATTTACTTTTTTTTCTTAACATTGTGGATTTGTGTACAAGATATAACATGAAAATAAATAGCTTCAACCTATGTCTGTGATAGCTGCTTTTTAATGCATTTTATGCATTGCTATTTTTTAAAAATGGTGTTTCTTGAATACAGAGCGTGTATCAGAAGTTCGTATAAAAATTGACATATTCGACTGTTCATTTAAACTAGTATTGAACTAGTCAAGTTTTGATAAATGTAACTGCATCACAGATATAGAATGACTGCTATATTTTCACAAGTTAGCAGCATATTGAGAAGTTTAATAGAATTCTTTGACTAATTTTTCATAAAAGGAAATACCCTTCCTAACTTACCAGAATTGGTTAAGTGTTTGTGTGTGTTTTTTCTTTTGTGGTTGCATTTGAATTGATTTAAGAAACTATTATAGATTATTAAATTTTCTGTTCATTCAAGGGAATGCTAAGACCTTGAAGAAGTATGTGGTCAAATTTAATTCACTGCAGCTGTGTCTACCAGAATAAAATGTTTATCCTCTTTCAAACCCAAAATTTAATATGCCCCAAAGTCTTCACTCATTATAAAATGGTAACAGCAGTATTGACGACATAATTTTGGGAATCAAATCCCTATTTTTACACTTTCTCATACAGTATTAAGTAATGACCCTGGATAATCACTAACGGCCTAATATGAAATAATAACCAAAGTGCTTAGAGCAGAAAAAAATAGAAAGTAAATCCAAATACTTTTGAAAGTTCCTAGTGTGTAAATTATTTTGGTGTGCCATTTATTTGACTCAGCATTATTTGATGACCATATCATTCTGACAAATTTAACATAATCCTTTTGTGGTTTTATGTATAGGGATTATTTAATTAATCTATTTATTTATCACATTCATTTACTTATTTGATAGTAAGGATTGAACCCAGGGGCGCTTTATCAGAGAGCAAAATTCCCAGCCTTTTTTAAAGTTTTTTTTTGAGACAGGGTTTCGCTGAATTGCTGAGGCTAGCTTCTCTTGCGATACTCTGGAGTTACTGGGATTACAGGCATGCGCCACCACACCTGGCTTGGGATTATTTTTAATTTCACAAAATTATATATTAAATTATGAAAAACTATTTCTTTTACTTTTTACTAGCATATTGAATGGACCACACATGAATTATGTTAATATTGTAGCTACTTCAGTAATAAGAGAGCATGTAAAATTAAAGGTAACAAATTATTTAATTGACCTTGATGGCTATAAATTGAAAGCTATGAATGACTACACCAAAATTTTGTGTTATTTTGCCCATGTTATAACCAAACATGCTTCAAATAATGTCAGACAGTGTGTGAAAATTGCCAATTTATAATTCATAGGTTTTTTTTAAAAAAAATTCTTTTGAGATTTATTTTAAATACTTCTTTTCCAAGATTTTGATCAATTGTCCAATTATACACATATATTTGGTTATATACAGCTAAATTTAATGTTTTTGTTCCTGGACATTTTAGATTAAGTTAAATGCTAGCGCTTTATACATATTTCATAGTCGATAAATGTTTTGCTTTTGTGTTTGTGTGTGTGTTCTATGGCCTATTGGATATGAATGTCATAGTGTCTTGTAATCTTTTTCAGAGGGGCTTCTGAACAATGCCAGGGATACAAGTGTCATGGATACTCTACCACTGAATGGTAACCATGGCAATAGTTACAGCATTGCCAGCGGCGAGTACCTGAGCAACTGTGTGCAAATTATAGACCGAGGCTATAACCATAATGAGACCGCCCTAGAGAAAAAGATTCTGAAGGAACTCACTTCCAATTACATCCCTTCTTACCTGAACAACCACGAGCGTTCCAGCGAACAGAACAGGAATCTGATGAACAAGCTGGTGAATAACCTCGGCAGTGCAAGTGAAGATGATGCCATTGTCCTCGATGATGCCACATCCTTCAATCATGAGGAGAGTCTGGGCCTGGAACTCATTCATGAAGAATCGGATGCTCCTTTGCTGCCCCCAAGGGTTTACTCCACGGAGAACCACCAGCCACACCACTACAGCAGAAGGCGGATTCCCCAAGACCACAGTGAGAGCTTTTTCCCTTTGCTAACCAACGAGCACACAGAAGATCTCCAGTCACCCCACAGGGACTCCCTCTATACCAGTATGCCAGCACTGGCTGGTGTGCCCGCCGCAGAGAGCGTTACCACCAGCACCCAGACCGAACCCCCAGCGGCCAAATGTGGTGATGCCGAAGATGTTTACTACAAAAGCATGCCAAACCTAGGCTCCAGAAACCACGTCCATCAGCTGCACACTTACTACCAGCTAGGGCGCGGCAGCAGTGATGGATTCATAGTTCCTCCAAACAAAGATGGGACCTCTCCGGAGGGAAGTTCAAAAGGACCTGCTCATTTGGTCACTAGTCTATAGAAGATGACACAGAAATTTAAACCAACAAAACTGCTAACACCTTGTTGACTGTTCTGAGTTGAAATAAGCAGTGGTAATAATGTGTGTACTCCTAAATCTTTATGCTGTTCTCAAAAGACAAACAAAAACTCTTGACTTTTTCTTTTTCTTTCTTTTTTTTTTTTTTAAACTGGGATTTTTAGGTCAGCCCAGGGGAGAAAGATAACTGCTGAAATCCCCCTGTGCCCTTTCCTTTCTTGTCCTTTCCCCCCCCCCTCAGATGGAGACTTCATTATGTTAATGAACGAGATATGAAGAAAATGGCGCTCATTGTGGCCTTGTTGAATTATGTTGTGTTTGTTTTAACATCTCTGATGCTCTGTTACTATAATTACAAGGACCTGATTTTTGAAAGGCCAGAACAATTGTTTGAAATTAGTAACAATGCTGCATCTAGATTGGAGTGCTGCACAAACAAACATAAAAGCCAAGCAAAACTGTTATCACATAGTGGTTTATGGTCACTCACCACCTGTTCACCACAGCAGAAATAGCTGTGGAAAACAAAACAACAAAATTAATAATGAAATGGAGGGGAATTCTAGAATTATATGCTAAATGCATATTTTATGATTTGCTGTATTAACTGATGATAAAACTAATGGCAGAAAAAATTGAACAATTTCTATGTAATGTACAGATACTAGCATTGCACATATAGTCTGCTTTCTGTTCCTCCAGAATTTGAGTCCTGTTAATGTAGTGGGAAAAAAAAAAAGAAATTTTCTTTTTCTTTTGTGCTAGTCTTGCAAGTTTGTCTACCAGTAAAAAAAAGAAAAAAAAGAAAAAAAAAAAAAGCAAAGTTTCCTCCTTTTTTTTTTCTTCCTTTCTTCATTTTCTTTTTCTTTGCCTCCCCCGCCCCCACACACACACTTGTTTTCTTTAAAACTTCACCTGGGAAATAAATAAATAAATAAAACTATCACTTTATAAGAATCATTTTCTAGTAATGCAAACAAATTATTTTTTACAAAAAAGAAAAGAAAAGAAATAAAATTAGATTTCCTTCCCTGACTATATATCTTTATCCAGCCAGAAGATTTCCAACAGCATTTTTGCAAATTAGAGCAGGACGAACTTTCATGTTTACAGGGCACATCTGTTGTAATGCAAAGCATATTTGGCAAGCAGTTCATCACCAAGACAGTAGCTATGATTCTAGAAGTCAAGAGGTGTCTATAGGACTAGTGGGGCTTCTGCATGTGAAAAACGGTATTTCATAGACGATAAAGTGCTGAATGCTCAGTCTGGCCCCCAAGCGGGCACCTGCACTACCAAGTTTTAGAGGAAATTCATTCCCTGGTAGTAAGAATTGAAAGGTCAAATAATTTTGAAGTGATTTTTTTTAAGTCTTCTGTTTATTAACAGGAAAATTTATTTATTTGACAGGATTTTAAGTAATGTAGGATACAAGAGGTAAATTAGCAGCACATATAATTTTTTTTAAAATTTATGATCCATTTTGTATGGTCTCAAAGTTGGATGACCTCATTACTAATATTTGTTGTAAAAGTGAAACTTGTTTGCCAACCAATAAACAACTGATTGAGATTTAGAAGATATTGTATTGATGTATGTACTATATTATTAATTTTCCTTTTCATTTTTCTCGCCTTTCTTTCCCTCTATTTTCAGTATATAAACTTTGCTAACCCTCTGTGACCTACATAAGCCATGAAAAAGAAATCAATCTGACTCAACAAATAACCTAAGCACAAAATGATAATCAGTTTTGCAGACAAAGTCAACCAGAAAATGGGATGGACATCTTTATGTTGTCTAAAACAAGATGCATTACTTACACTCAAGCAGGTTAACATATAGGTTACTGTATGCCTATTTATGAACCCGCTGTAGTTACTATGCTTATTTTAATAAACAGATGCAATCAGAGATTCAAATATCAAATTACAACGGAATCATTTTTCCTCTTTCATAAGCTCCATTTTGATAAAGAAAGAAATTTAAATTTATTCCATTGGCTAAAAGCTACAAGAATCATGGCAAAGAAAACAACATTTTTAAAGGGCACTATAAACCATTTTTTGTGCCATTTTTTCTTGTTATAAAGGAGGAAAGAGGAGGGGAAATATAAATCCTTTCAAAGAAACTTTCTTGATCTTCTTTTACTCCAGATCCTTTTCCAGCAGTATTCAACCATGGAGTTCTTTCTAAGCAAAACTACAATGAACTTGCCAATTCATAATTTCTCTTGTTCTATGCCTTGGGATTTTATTTTTCAAAAATCTACATGCCATCCACCTATAAATGATTGTCTTAAATCAAAATGATAAAGAATAGTGTAGAGAATGGCCAGTAATCCATACATAGTTATAAAATATATGACAAAAAACAAGTTGTACTGGTCAGAGTACATCTTAACTGTTTTATCACCTTAAAATATCTTATGTCTCATTTCTTTTTAGTCAATTGATATAAATGTTTCCTTAAATTGGAGGAGTACCACAGGCTTCAGCAGTAATGAGGTTTCCCTAACACCACCCAGTGGCCGTATTAGCACCTGAAAGGTGTTTAACTCACTTGATGCCTAGATTATATGTGGCCAGAAAAGAACCCTTCTTTAACATGTAAAACATAACTCCAAAAACACACATGTTGACTGTGGATTGTGAGCACTTAAGCTTGGTGTGACAAACAGTAATCTGTGTGGAAGCATTTCTAAGTAAGAAGCTAGATTCACAGAACAATGGGGAAACTACCTCAATTCAGCTTGCTGATTTTCTGATATTGCTACCTCCTTGCTTGTGATCTTTTTGTGTTTTATTATATGGAAATTTGAAGCAGGTAACCTGCCCAGCTCTGCATAGACCAAGTGGAAGAAAGATCACTTGGAACACCTTAACTGGTACAGAAGTCTATGCAATATAATAGGTTAATACCAAGCTCTTGCATCAAGATGAAAGTGTGAGTTTTTTGTTTTTTTTTTTTAACCTCTCCTCCATCATAATTGGTGTGCTTTCAGAGAGAATTAAGTTCCCAAAGATTTTGACAGGAAGAGATTTTTCCTCTGAATTTGATGTGACTATTAATGAAAACAGTGGATAAAGTAGTTAATTGCACATGTATTTCAATAGAAATTCGCATAAAATATGTATTCATTTAGTCCTATGTACACTAGCAAGGGTTGAATTCCTGAACTTCAATTTTCCCCTCAAATGCCTTTTTCAAGCAAAGCTACTGATGAACTAATAATTTTTTAAAATTTTTTTTCTATCACCTTTATTGACTTCGTTTTTCCAATATTTTATGAAATTTATGATTTACTTATCTGAATATTTTCAATGTACTTGGTTTTCCATTAAGAAGTAAATTTCCATTCAACATACATAATGTATGTGCATAGCACATTATTTAGCCAGCTGAAAGTAAAAGCTAAGTATTGCTTCCTAGTAAAATAATATTTTGTAGTGTTTTATTTGAATTTTATTTTTTCTTTGAAATCTAAGTCATATGATGGTTTTATCAGGACACTAGCTAATGGTCCTCATGTTTAATTGATTTTGAAACTAATGGACTGTTCTACAGCATATTCCTAACCGATAATATTTATGATGAAACCCAAATTTTGGGAAGAAGAAATAGATTAAAATTTCAGTTAAAGTTTATGAGCATCCCTCCTTGTTTCCATTCTATTAAAATTTAACTACTGGAGTTGAATGATAAAAAAATATGCTAAAATTATCATAATGACAAAACAACTGGCATGAGAACAATTTTCATAAAAGGAAAATTAATAAGGAAACTATATTAACCAAAAGCAAATAATAGAAATTCCCTTAACTTCCTGTAAAAAATTCACAATGACTCTAAATTGAAAGTTTATGATCTGTATTTTTAAGATTCCCAATATGAAAATATTGACATTGAAATGATCTTTAAATTTAGATATTTAAAGTTTAATATTAGCTTAGTTGATGTGATAAAATTTTTCATAATAATGCAGCATATAAAGGAATTGGTAACATTTATAAAGATCCATATAATTAATTTTAGGCAATATCTTCAGCTATATGTGTTCAATTCACTGACTAGTTTCAAGATCAATATTAAAAACTTTTATGACTGACTTTCTGCATTAATGTATAGACCAAAAGAAAAGAGGAAAAACAATGTCTTGAGTTGTCTAAAGATCAATTCTGAACTAAACTATTGTCATCATCTATTAATGAAAGAATATTTTTTAAATTGTTCATTAGTACTGTATCAAAGTGCTACTATTTAGAATGTTTTTGAAAACAAAATAAAACACTGTTGAACTACAAATGCATGTCAATTCAACCTCAGCGAATGAAAAACTAAAACAAAATTTTAATCTGGTTTTGAGCAAATACGAGGATACTGGTATGAATGGCCTTTGTTTAACAAACATACTGAGATAAAGTAGCCCAAGGTATTAAGATATAATTAGTTTATTTTTAGCAATTCATAAAACTCATCATGTCATTGTTAGGCATTCCTAAATAATACTTTACATCTCATATTAGATTTCTGCACATTGAAATGTTAGAAAGGTGGAGGCCCAAATGCAAAGCAGCATAAGAATAGCTTATGGAAGGGTTTCTGTGCAAATTAATTCTACGTAAGACTCTTCTTTGAGCTCATAAAATAGATTCAAGAGAATACAAGAGTACGTTCAATTTTGTAATAAGAAAATACGTCTATATCAAACCATCTGAAAAAATATTATTAGACATTTAACCATATATATCCTAGAAATGAAAATGTTGATAGTTGTTTCTTTCTTGTTCAGCCATAAGACAAAATTCTATTTACTACCTTACTGTGATCACATCCTCTTTGCTTTAAAAGGAAAACCAGTCTTTAACGTTCACCTGTACACATACTTACAAATCATAATTCCTTTTATTTAACTTTCAGAGAAAATGAATCACAATTATTGCAAACTTTGTGATTTTTATAATAAGACAGGTGGTTAATAT